CAAAAAAACTAGCAGGGTTGGGTGTGGGTGCCTTATTTCCCAGGCTACTCGGATTGCTGAGGCAGAAGAACAGTTGAACCGGAGGCAGAGGTTGCAGTGAGCTGAGTTTGGAGCCACTGCACTTAGGCCTGGGCGACAGAGTTGAGACTCTTCTCAAAAAAAAAAAAGAAGAAAAGGAAAAGGAAAAGAAAAAAGAAAAAGGGAAAGAAAAAAAAGGAAACTTTTATTTTATTTAATTTAATTAATTAATTTTTTGAGACAGGGTCTCACTCTGTCACGCAGGGATGGAGTGCGATGGTCATGATCCTCCGCCTTCACATGCCAATTCTCCAACTTCCTGGGTTCAACATTTCTCCTGCTTTCAGCCTCCCAGGTAGGCTGGGATTACAGGCATGTGCCCACCACGGCCAGCTAATGTTTTTGTATATTTAGTAGAGATGGGTTTCACCATGTGGCCAGATGGGTCTGATCTCCTGATCCGTGATCTTGCCACCTCGGCCTTCCCAAAAGTGCTGGAATTACAGGCTGTGAGCCACCATGCCGGCCAATATTTTTATTCAATAGTTTTTAGGAATTTGGCAGGAAAAAAAAAAAAAAATAAAAACAGGGGAAGATAATAGAAGAATTCCCACAATTCCCTACACCTCCCCCCCTATCTCTACAAAAAATAAAAAATTAGCTGGGTGTGGTGGTGCACACCTGTAGTCCCAGCTACACCGGAGGCTGCGGTGAGAGGATTGCTAGGCTGCGGTGAGAGGATTGCTTGAGCCCAGGAGGTCAAGGCTGCAGTAAGCTGTGATTGCACCACTACTCTCCAGCCTGGGCAACAGGACAAGATTCTGTCTGAAAGGAAAGGAAAGGAAGGGGAGGAGAGGGAAAGGGAGGGAAAGGGAAAGGGAAAGGAAAGGAAAATAGCATAACAGTTTCCATTTCTAGTTTTATTGCAAAAGTAATTGTGGTTTCTGCCATTACTTTTAGTTAACATTATTAATGTAATTAATGCCATTAAAAGTCATGGCAGGCCGGGCGTGGTGGCTCATGCCTATAATCCCAGTACTTTGGGAAGCTGAGGTGGGCGGATCACGAGGTCAAAAGTTCGAGACCAGCCTAGCTAACACGGTGAAACTCCGTCTCTACAGAAAATACAAAAATTAGCTGGGCGTGGTTGCGGGTGCCTGTAATCCCAGCTACTCAGGAGACTGAGGCAGCAGGATTGCTTGACCCCAGGAGGCGGAGGTCAGAGGTTGCCGTGAGACGAGATCATGCCAATGCACACCAGCCTGTGCGACAGAGTGAGACTCCATCTCAAAGAGGAAAAAAAAAAAGGGGGCTGGGCACGGTGGCTCAATCCTGTAATCCCACCAACTTGGGAGGCCGAGGCGGGCGGATCACCTGAGGTCAGGAGTTTGAGACCAGCCTGACCAACATGGAGAAACCTAAACCTCTCTACTAAAAATACAAAATTAGCTGGACATGGTGGCGCATGCCTGTAATCCCAGCTACTCAGGAGGCTGAGGCAGGAGAATTGCTTGAACCCAAGAGGCGGAGGTCACGGTGAGCCAAGATTAAATAAAATAAATATGTATGTACTAAATATATATATGTATTTTTAAGTCGAGATAGGGTCTCGCTATGTTGACCAGGCTGGTCTCGAACTCCTGACCTCAAGCAATCCTCCCATCTTGGCCTCCGAAAGTACTAGGATTGCAGGCATGAGCCACTGCACCCATCCCATCATTTGTAATTTTAAAGGGAAGAGCAACAAACTTTCAGTTTGCAGGGCTAGGACTGTTTGCAGCTGCAAAATTTAGAGAGGACATCAATCTTTCATTATCCACATTTTACAGCTGGGGAAATCAATGCTAAGAGAGGAAATTCATTTGCCCAGGGGAGCACCACCCCAGTCTCCAATGTGCAATTCATACAATTGTGATTTCTGACCTGGTCCCAAACTGACCCTAAAGTTTGCAGGCCAGAACGCTGCTGCTCAAATAAGTCAGCTTAGTCAAATAAGTCAGGCAAAGGTCGTGTCTTTTCACCTGGAGTCCTGGCCAGGCTGGTAGGTCCCTCCTCCTGGGACGAGTTCACCCTCAGACTTTTCGGCAAGATCATCTCCCACAGCTTGTTAATTGGTTCTTGGTTCTAAGTGTTTTTTTGTTTTTTTGTTTGTTTGTTTAAGAGATGGGGTCCCACTTTATCACCCAGGCTTGAGTGCAGTGGCACAATCATAGCTCGCTGCAGCCTCAAACTCCTGGGCTCAAGTGATCCTCCTGCCCCAGCCTCCCGAGTAGCTGGGACCACACGCACATACCACGATGCCTGGCTCTAAGTGGCTTTAATGGGGTCCTTCTGAGGGATGTTGGAGTGAGGGCCTGGGGGGAGTTCCCCAGGCCTTCTGGGAGGCCTGGGCTCTGGCCTTGACCTCACCTGCTGTCTGGTCTTGCTGAAGACAGAAAAACATGGAAATGGCAGACCTGACAGAATCTGGGCTGTGGTCAGGATGTGGCTGAAGAAACCACAAGAAAAACACTCAGTCCCCTTTCAGCCGTCATGCCCAGCAGTTGGGCGCCGATAACAGGGCTCATTTCCTGTAGGAAGCCCTGGCTCTCTTGCCACATGGACAGCAGGTCGGTGCAGCCTGAGTGCTCCCCCAGCCCCGGTGTCCAACAACCCCAGCACCCACCCCATCCCAGGCATCTTCCAGGGATGTCTCCCAGGACCATGGGGTTTAGCATATCCCAAATGGAGCCAACTATCTTTCCTCAAAGAAAAATCCCCACTAGGCCAGGCACGGTGGCTCACGCCTGTAATCCCAGCACTTTGGGAGACAGAGGCAGGCAGATCACTTGAGCTCAGGAGTTCGAGACTAGCCTGGTTAACATGGTGAAACCCCGTCTCTACTACAAATACAAAAAAACTAGCCAGGCGTGGCCAGGCATGGTGGCTCATGCCTGTAATCCCAGCACTTTGGGAGGCCGAGGCGAGTGGATCATCTGACGTCAGGAGTTCGAGACCAGCCTGACCAACATGGAGAAACCTAAACCTCTCTACTAAAAATACAAAATTAGCTGGGCGTGGTGGCACATGCCTGTAATCCCAGCTATTCAGGAAGGCTGAAGCAGGAGAATCGCTTGAACCCGGGAGGCAGAAGTTGCGGTGAGCCAAGATCGAGCCACTGCACTCTAGCCTGGCCAACAAAAGCAAAACTCAGTCTCAAAAAATAAAATAAAATAAAATTAGCCGGGCGTGGTTGCCCACACCTGTAGTCCCAGCTACTGGCAAGGCTGAGGTGGGCAAATCAGTTGAATCTGGGAGGTAGAGGCTGCAGTAAGCTGAGATCGCGCCACTGCACTCTGCACTCCAGCCTGGGTGACAGAGCAAGACTCTGTCTCAAAAAAAAAAAAAAAAAAAAAAAAAAGGAAAAGAAAAAGGAAAGGAAAGAAAAGAAAGATCCTTGCTATATGTCCATGTTCAAGCATTATCTTCCCATCCATCTGCCCTGAGCCACAGGCCTAGCAGGTGGCATGCGCATCCATTGAGCACCTACTGGATACCAAAGCACTTTACTGGCATCTTCTCCCTGGCCACTCCTGGAGAGGCTGGCCCTGTTATTCCCCTTTACAGATGAAGAAACAGGCTCAGAGAGTTTACTTGGTATCCTGGAGTCCCAGGAGCACTTTTTCTGAAACTTGAAGCCTGTTTCCTGCGGGTGCCAGGACAGAGTCCAACACTGTTTGTTGACTGGGGTATCCTCTCACCTGGGCTGTGTGTGCCTATCCAGTCCCCCAGTTTTCAGCTGGCTCCAGTCTCACCTGCTGCTCACACACCTTCCATGGCTCCCATAGTCCCCTCGGTGGGGACAGGGGCACTGAATGAAGCCCTGCTAGTCACCACAGAGACACCTGAACACAAAACCAAGTCCCTAGGGTCAGACCCAGGCCCTGCCCTCACTCAACTGTGCAATCTCAGTTTCCCCAGGTGGAGACTGGACCAACAATGATGGCCTCTGCCTCTTCAGGTCATGGTACAGATGAATACCATGGCCTAGGCACTCAGTAACACACAGCAGAAGCACAGGGACTTAAGATGGAGTCTCCCAGGCAGCCACAGTTGGCTGGCACTCAGTTGGGAAGGGCCCGAGGCCTTTTAAAGCAGGGTTGAAAAAAAAGCCCACCTCCTTTCTGGGAAACTGAAACTGAAAGCCTAATTAATCCTCTGCCTGTAGGTGCCTCATGCAAGAGCTGCCGGTCAGAGCACTTCCTGGAACTTGCTATTGGTCAGGACGGCTCCTATGCTAATAGGGGGTGGCCCATAGAAGATTCCAGTACCCTCCCCTAACTTCAGGCCAGACTCCCTTCAGCTAGAGGGGAGATCTGGATGGCACCTATTTTGTATGACTATTGCAGAATGCCCATGGGTGACATTTGGAAGGAAGACGGGGACAAGCGCTGTAAACTGGTGGTAGGAATTCTGGGGCTCCTGGTCGTAGTGCTTCTGGGGGTGCCCCTGATTTTCTTCATCATCAAGGCCAACAGCGAGGCCTGCCAGGATGGCCTCCGGGCAGTGATGGAGTGTCGCAATGTCACCTATCTCCTGCAACAAGAGCTGGCCGAGGCCCAGCGGGGCTTTCGGGATGCAGAGGAACAGGCTGTCACCTGCAACCAGACTGTGGTAAGCACCTCAACTCCTTTGGATGGCCTAGTACTAGGGGGTAGGGAGGACAATAATCTCTCCCCAGAAATCTGACACAGGGTGGGTCTCCAGGGAGATGCAAGGGAGGTCCCAAAACTGTTCCTGGGCCCCCACATCAAGGGACCGAGGTTCCCCTACCAGAGTATGGGGGCCTCTAACCCAGTCCAGGACACTGGTGTAGGGGCAGGGTGTTAAAACTCTCCAGAGCCCCCAAATCAGGGACCTCAGTATTCCCCCCCGGGACTTAGGTGAGTTGATAAATTCTTTCCAGGACACTGGTGTCGGGAGCCTTGAAGCTCCTAGTGGGCACCAGTCCTGGGGGAGTAGAAACCCCTATTCAGGGTTGAAGGGGGACTTCACCAGACCCTGAAAAAGGGGGCTTTTGAAATTTTCACTTCATCACTAAGAAACTGAAATATTCACCTGGGTCCTGATATGGGGGATCTTGCAACTCTTGCTGAGCATGTCACTTGGGCTGGGAAATCCCACTGCGTTCTGGATTTGGTAGGGCCCTCTAACTTTTCTTGAGCCATAGACCAGGCAATCTGGAAACGTCTACTAAAGTGTGGTTATCGACAGCCTCCAACTTGCCATGTGGGGGGGTCTCAAAACTCCCATATACAGGACCCACATGCTTATGGGTGGCCCTGGGAGAGTATGTGGTTGTGGCTGTTCTTTAAGGTTGGAGAACATGGTGCAGAGAGGGTTGGAAGAAAACCTGAAAGGGTTTGCATTTAAGGGCAGCAGCCAAACTCCCCAGGCCAGAACCCCAGATTCTGACTCTTCTTAGGTGGCCCTAATGGCTTCCCTGGATGCAGAGAAGGCCCAAGGACGAAAGAAAGTGGAGGAGCTTGAGGGTGAGAAACAGACAAGGAAGAGGGCTGGGGAGGGGTGACTCAGCTATGGAAGAGGGGGTGGGGGCAGGGAGACCAGGGCTGGAGGTTGGGGGAAGGGGGAGGTCCTGTCCCAGAGTGGGGCCGGGCCCCAGCATGGCCACGTGCTGCCCCGCCCCCTGATTCTGTCCTCCCGCCCCACCAGGGGAGATCACTACATTGAACCACAAGCTTCAGGACGCGTCTGCGGAGGTGGAGCGACTGAGGTCAGAGATAACCTTCCCCGCTACCCTCCACCCGCCACACTCCTCTCACCCCCACGTCCCTACCCCGAGACCCAGAATCTCTCCTTTGCTCCCAAAATCCCCATTGCCCCAAGGGGTAAGGTTTGAGTCCCACAAAAGGACAACTTAGCCCCTAGGGTCACAGAGCCATGGGTGGCCCCAGTCCATTCCCTCCCCAGTGACTTGGATTGGGGCGGTGCGGGGGGAACTCCCGGGGGCGATGGGCTTACAGGGAGGGCGGCAGGAGCCAGGACGAGCAGATGCCTGATTTGCCCCCATTTGCACCGCAGAAGAGAAAACCACGTCTTAAACGCGAGAATCGCGGACACGGACTCCGCCAGCTCCCAAGACTCCAGCTGCGCGGCAGAGCCCCCGCTCCTGATTCTGCTGCTGGGCTTGAGCGCTCTGCTGCTGTGAGATCTCAGGAAGCTGGTCAGTGAGGAGGGGGCGGCCCCGCGAGGGAGAAGAAAGCTGGGGAAGGGGGTCGGGGAAGCAGGGACTCCGAAGTCTGGAGAGAGGGGCTGCAGGGGGAGGGACTGGATGCAGAGGAGAGGGGCCTTGGGGAAGGAGGGAGAATCCAGTGAGAAGGGCGCCCTGGAGCGGGGGTGGGGCTTATAGCAGTATGGGGCGGGGCTATGAATGAGGGCGGGTCTATCGATGGGGGGAGGGGCTTATGGATGGGTAGGGCGGGGCCAGTGTCTGCTGCCTCCAGTCTGCCCTGAGTCCCTCTTCTGGTCCTTCAGGCGTATTTTGGAAGATCCGGTTCCTGCTCGACTTTTCGCCTGGACATGCCCTTGATCTCATCGGTTCTGAGCGGGTCAGGGGGCAGCACGGTTAGCGGGGAGGGCACGGGGTAGCCGGAGAAGGGTCTCTGGAGCAGGTCTTGAGGGGCCATGGGGCAACCCTGGGTGTGGGGACACAGTCGGGTTGACCCAGGACTGTCTCCCTGCAGAACTAGGCAGGGAATGAGTCCCCCCTCTTGTTTCCCGTCCTGAGATTGGGCATGGGGTGCGGTGGGGGGGCACCTGCCGCCTGTTGTTACGGGTGTTTTATTATTTTGCAGGGGGGTGTGCTTTTTCTGGGGTCTTTGAGCTCCAAAAAATAAACACTTCCTTTGAGGGGGAGCACACCTTACTCTCGAGTTCCTGAAGTGTCATTGTGTTAGTCCCTAAGCGTCGGGGCCGCCCCTGCCGGTGAGAGTGGACTCCCCGTTGATGACAACACCTCCCTTCCCTGCTCCAGGACGTTTTCAGGAGCCCACGGAGTTCGGGGAGGCACCACCCCGGTTCCTCCCAGCCCTCGTCTCTGCTGGGATCAACATAAGGACTGTACACCCTCATCAGGGCTCCCCGTTTCCCAGGTGTTTTATTCTCATCTCCTCCCTAGAGCCTCTCCTGATTCCTGGGGATCCAGTGAGGAAACTGAAGCTGTAACTGAGAGTAACGTCGCCTTGCTTCCCCTCCGACCTGCAGAAAATGCTGGGCTGGGATTTAAACTGGGATCTGTACACACACAGGCCATGCATCCAGGGAAGGGTCCCCAAAATACCTCCCCCTTGCACAGACCTGGGCCTCTTGCCCTAAACTTCCTTTTGCTCACTCAACCTCCACCTTTTCCTTGAATTCCTAAGCCTCCTCTTTGCCTCAAGGCCTTTGCCCAGAGGCTCTGCCCTGCTTCCCTAGAAGCAACCCCGTTCCTCACTCCTTGCCAAGGTCCTAGAAGCAAGGCCCTCTCAGCCTCAGCCACGCCAGTTGGGTAGTTTTGGGTCTGAATGGTTCTCTGCGGTGGGAACGATTCCCCTGTGGCATTGTAAGATTTTTTTTTTTGTTTTTGTTTGGTTGAGTTTTTTGTTTTGTTTTGTATTTGAGACGGGAGTCCTTGCTCTGTCGCCCAGGCTGGAAGTGCAGTGGTTGCGATCAATCCGCTCACTGCACCCTCCACCTCCGGGTTTACGCCATTTCTCTTCTGCTTGCCCTCAGCCTCCTGAGTATGCCTTGGGAAACATATACAACCGCCACGCACCTCGCGGGGTTTTGGCCTTGGGTGGGTTTCGCTGGCTAAGTTTTTTTTTGTATTTTAAGATATAAAAAGAGACGGGGTTTTCACTGTGTTACCAGGTGGTCCTCGATCTCCTGCTTTCGTGATCCGCCAAGTCCTTCGGCCATCTGCCAAAGTGCTGGGGATTACCATAGGCTTGAGGCCCCGCCGCCTGGCCTTTTTTTTTTTTTGTGAGATTGAATCTTCGCTCCTGTCCTCCCAGGCTGGAGTGCCAGTTGGGCGCCGAATCTGGCTCACTGCAACCCTCCGCCTCCTGGGTTCCAAGCCGATTCTCACTACCTGAGCCCTGCCTCCCCGAGTAGAAATGGAATTACAGGCGCACCTGCCATGTGTCGGCTAATTTTTTGGTATTTTTAGTAGAGATGCGTGGGTTTCCACCAATGTTGGCCAGCCTGGTCTTGAACTCCATGACCTGA